TTACTTCCTGAAGAGGCCAATATGGATGCCATGATTTTGGTGCAATTATTATGACATCTACACCCATTTCTACCAAACACTCAAGTTCTATGCCATTTATTTGTATTTTTAACCTTGGCCTTTGATCATTTATAGAAGTTTGCCAAAATATTTGCTTTATGGTTTCTCCTGAAAATTTCATTTTATTTTCTAAGGCTGTTCCTGGCATCCAGAGCCATATGGCTTTTAACAACAGGCATATCATTTAATTGTTTTGTGGAGAGTTTTCTCCAGTGCTGGCAGGAAATGACTGAACTACATTTGACATTTGGGCCTGAGAGAGGCCCTGCTGGGCATTTCCCAGATGGCAAAAGTTACCTTGCCTGTCCCTTGTTCATATACATTTATTAATCCAATGCTGGCCTTTGCCACACCTTCTGCACACTCCAAAAGTCTTGGGCCTTCTGTTTGAATTATTCCTATCATAAACATTATTTCTAGGAACAGTTTGCTTATACTCCCTTTTCATATGACCTTGTCTACCCCAATTAAAACACCTAACATTTTGATTTTTCTTCATATTTTTAGAAAGCAATGTTCCTAACCAATATCATCATTAGAAGTATGGGGTTCAACATCAATTGTATGTCTGATCAACTCTTCTATGGGTGCTGATCTTACCTATAAATGTCTAGCCACTCTTTTACATTCTACTTTAGCAATTTTAAAAGCCAGAGATTTGATTAATATTTGTTTAGCATCTGGATCAGCTGATGTTAATCTGTGCAAAAAAAAAAAAAATCAGTGAAAGCTTCTTTCAGGCCTTGTGTAATTTTAGTAAATGATCCAATCCTCTTTCCTGATTCTTCAACCTTGTCCCAACCTACACTGTCTTGGGAAATATCACCTACCTCGGTGTTCCAGAGCCCTGGCTTCCTCTCTCTACTGAGTTCTCCATTGTATTTATGGACCGGCTTCCAACACAGCTGAAACTAAATCCTTCCAGTCTTGTGGAATAGTTCAGTGCTTAATTGCCCATGAATTTAACGTCTGTCTTACAAAGGGTGAATGCATGCCATATGAAACTACTGCTCCCTTACTCTCTTTAAGTCTAACACATCTACAGAATTCCAATTAACTTCTGCGTAGCTTTGGGGATGCATATTATCTGGCGATGGCTGTTGAACAATAACCGGATATATTAAAGTTGGTGCTCTAATAACCTCAGGCAGTTCCTCTCCAGTTTCACAATACAATGATGTGGCAAATTCTGCTCTAAATTCTTCTGTCTGTGTCTGAACACTTTTGTTTTTTTCATTAGTATATCTTTCCAAGGCCTGCATCCTATTAATCCACTTGCCATATTTAGCACAGAAAACCACCAAGGCTATTACTGATAAGATGTTATTACAATATTGATAGTAAGTATATCAGTCAGTTAAATCATTAATCTTCCCTCATTCTACTTCTAACTTCAAGCCTTCTAAGGTAGCAGTATAGAAAGCCATAGCACCCTGCATTGTTTCCCATCCTTAACATAGAGAAATATTTTTCTTTTCAATAGTAATTCTCTCCCACTCCCCTAAAGAACTTCCCGAATCTCTTACCAACTCTTTTGACTTCTCCAGGCAAGTGGCAGCTGACTGCTAGTGTAGAGAAGTTCAGTTGGCAGATTCAGCAGAGCTGGGAGTTGAGAGCTCCAGACCGCAAATGCAGTAGAGCCAGCTGGAGTGACCCGTACTTCTGTGTGGTTCGGCCATCAATTCCAGCACCAATTTGCTGTTTTTCTTTTTTAATTGTTGCTGCCTTTTACATCACAGATATCCTAGTCAGCAACTGTGGGTCCACCACTACCAGCTGCAGGTAGGCCACAAGAGTCGTAGCCTGAGGAAATCAAAGCCTGAGGGAATTCTGTTCCCTCAGGCACCAACTCTTTCAAAGCTACTAAGGAAATTTGTTTAAATCTCTGTGTCACTAAAGAAGGCAAGATTCAAAGGTTGAAGTAGAATAAGCTTCCCAGAGAGGCTGACCAGCAAGCAGCTCACTTAGCTCACCTCCTCGAATCTCCCGAGAAGTCCTCGTGGTCAGTCTCGCTCCTCCCTACAACTTCCTGTCAGCTAGTTGCTGACCCAGCCTCCTGACTGCAGGTGAATTTTATTTAATCAAACACATCTTTGCATCATTAAACAAATGTTCCAGATCATAAACAAAAGTAACACACCTTAAGATAATATTCTACAACAGGTATGATCAATCTAAAAACTAATCTTGGAGAAGTCCAGGACTCAACTTGAACCACTGGGAACAAAGCAAAGCATGCAAGCTCTGGGGTGGCCAGGTATGATAACTAGGGATTCAGTCTCCACCCGTCAATACTTTTAGAGCAAACAGTCGAGTTGGTAATTCCCGAAGCTTCTCTGTAACAGAATGCCCCACTAAGCAGTAGAACACGTGTTCAGAGTTCATCTAGCCATTTCCAGATTCTGGACCATAAATGAGTTTCAGTAAAATTAAGAGGCCCTGAAACATAGACTATATCTTCTGACAATGGATCTAATTAAATTAGCAATAACAGAAGGATGGCTGGAAAATTTCCAAACATCTAGAATTTGAATGATATACTGTTAAACTCATGGATCAAATATGAAATAGGGAGGCTAGAGGCTGATGAGATAGCTCAGCCAGAAAGCGCACTTACTGCCAAGCTTGAGGACCCAAGTTTGATCCCTAGGTGGAAGGAGAGAACCTATTTCTTCAAGTTGTCCTCTGACCACCATATACTTGGGTGACATTCACCTAACCACACAAACCACACAAACATGAAATAAATATTTATTTAAAACAGTAGAATAAGAGGTTATAGAATATTTTAAACTTGATGATGATGATGGTGATAATAATAAAAACTCCAAAGTTCTGGGATGCAGCCAAAACAGGATGAGAGGGGGTGCCTATGCTGGAAAAGGAAACAGAGGAGAAGCCTGATCTGAGTTGATCAACAATCACCCAATACATGTCTATCCTGAATTATCAGAAGGAAAAGTGCAGGGCACTGGGGGAGTCATACATGAGAACAGGGCCAACCGTTCACATTTCATGGACACTGAAAGGACTGTAGGGGTGTATTATAAACTCATTTATGCAACAGCTCTGATGAGATGGAAACATTCTTGAGTGATACAAAACATTAGGTTAAGGGGGGGGGCGGTAAACTGGGCACTTGCAAATGTGCTAAATAATTCAACTGCATACAAAAACTATAACATCATGAGTAAGTGGGCTTTATCCCCAGAGTCCAATTCAACACTTGAAGATCAATTGCTATAATCCCACCTTAACAGACTTGTAATAACAAAATCCAACATCCACTCTTGACTATATATATATATTCTCAGCAAACTAGAGAAAGGATGGTCCTCTCAACATCCAGACAAATCGGGCTGCTCATACACCATGCCTCACACCACGCACCCAGATCGACTCAAACACAGACTCCAATGCAGATCGGTACATCTATAAAACCCCATTGCTTTACCTCAGGCAAAGACATCTTACATATGACACCCAAAATCATAATCCTCCAAAGAGAGAAGATCGCTGAGTTAGACTCCCTCAAAATTAAAAACCAAATGTGGGGAAAACTGTCAGGGGAATGGAGAGACTACTAAAAGTAGAGCGGTGGAGCAGACAGGAAACAGGCCGTATCGTGAACCTTTGGTGTAACATAGACCCACAGGCCAAGCCACTGCTCCACACCCAGAGTGTCTCCCATTAGAGTCACTGGCCTGTCAGATGCTGTTGGTCATGTATCTGTGCTGTCAGCGGCTATGACACGGAATCAGAGATCAAACATGCTCCAGCCACTGCTCTTCAAATTTTTCGTTCAAAGCTGCTTCACAGTGAACTTCCATCGCCCTTGTTAGAGTCCCAGATCAAAACCCAGCTGGAGCTGAACAGGTGAGCAGACCTAGGGAGGACCACGGTCTCAAGAGCCACTCAACGTGGTGAACCTCGAAAAAAGCAGGCCGAAAGAGATCCTGTGTGATAGGAGGCCATTTATAGAAGTGTGTGTGTGTGTGGGGGGGGGGGTGAGGCATACTCTGAGGTCCCAGTAAGGCAGGCGACCAAGGGAGAATGGGGTCCTGGAGCTGAGGATCAGGTCCCAGGTCGACGCCCCTTCCTAGGGTGCTGCCACCCTGGACCCGGGATTTGGGGCGAGGGACGTCAATCAGGTAGTGGGGATGCTCAGGGTCGGGTTTGGCCACGTGGCACGTCCAGGGACACTCCCTTTACCAATGCCCTAGAAAATGATACTTAAACCCGCTCATGCCTTCTCAGGCCCCGCCCAGACTCCGTCCCAATCAGTTCAGCTCACATGTCAGGCCCCGCCCTTCTTGCGGAACTCCGCCCACAACCCCCACTCACCCCCTCCCTCAGTTTTCCTTCTGTGTGTTCTGGCCCAGTCTTCTCCCGTTTTTATAAACTCTATTTAGCCTTTCTTTATGGGCATAAGCCTCTACCCAGACCATCACCTATCTAACCCTTCCCCTTAAGACCTTGCTTGGCCCTCCTCAAACAGGACTCTCCCCTACCCAGCCCTCCTACAAGGCCCTCCCCTCGCAAAGGACCGCCCCCAGAGACCCCGCCCCTCATCACTCAGACCACGCCCTTACCTGACATCTCTCACCCACTACAGGTTCCGCCCCGTCCCCCCAATGCACACAACACCAACGCCCCTATCAGGATCCCTTGTCACCGGCCCCACCTCCTTAACAAGGCTCCTCTCCGCCCGACCACTCCCCTCAAGGCCCCGCCCCAACCACGCAAAACCACGCCCCTCCGGTCTCACCCCTCTTATTCCAGATCCCCGCCGCCACCCTGCCCTCCTTTGCCGGCCCCGCCCCTATTTCAAGGGCCCCCGCCCCTCCCGCCCTGGCTTGCCAGCCTTTCCGCTCTACTGGCCATTGGGTGGGCGCGGGGCGGGTCTCCGCGGCGCTGGGAGGGCTCTCTCTGGTCAGGCTGGGGGAAGCTCACAAGGCTCGTTGCCGCCACGGCCGCTCAGGCAAAGCCCCTACCCGCCCGGGTCGCCTCCCACCCGCGGAGCTCCGGTGTCCCGGCCCTGCCATCCTGCTCTCTGCCGCCACTCCCCGCCCAGCTGGCCGCACGCCGGGGGCTGCTTCCTCTCCGCTGCGGGCGTGGAGCTGCTGCTTCGGAGCGCCCGGGGAGCTGTACTGATGACCAGTCTCTAAGGTGTCACAGGTAGCCGAGTGCTCAGGGACAAACAGGCTCACGCGGACACCTGCCCCTCCCGACCTGGCTCGCAGATCGGAGATCGGGAGGGAAGCCCTCCGCCAGCACTTGCCTGGAGTTGGGGGAGGGGAGAGAGAGATGGATCCTTGGGCCTTCGCCCAGACTTGAGTCCCTAGCTAGGGGTGGATGACCAGGGCTAGGGCAGGGTTCTTAACCACCTCGCTAGGGCCGGTCTCCAGCCAGTGGTCAGCCCTAGTTGTCTTTTTTAGCTGGGAGATGCTTCCCTGGGTGGCCTTGGGAACCCTCCAGAGTAAGTTACAAAGGTGGTATATTTGAGAGACTCAAACCTGGTGTGTCTATGACGCCTTTCCTTGCTGGTTCTGTCCTCCCAGATGGACGGTAATGGACAGTGCTGGTCACCCCCACCTCTTTTTTTCTTGTAGACCTGAGACCATTAGGCTCTCCTGCAGGTGAGGACACGAGTCTGTGTTGGATGACTGCCTACAACGTGGGGAAGGACTCTCACCTGCAAATCCCAGTGGAAAAGAGCCACCTGGGTCAGGTGGAGGCAAGATGGGTCCCAAGGGCAGGCCGAGCCCCTCATCCCCACTGGCCCCCTCCCAGGGGTCTTGCTTCTTCATCCTCTTTTGCTTACGCTTAGGTGCCTCCTGCCCACAGGCCTGCCAGTGCCCTGACCATGCTGGGGCTGTGGCTGTCCATTGCAGCTCAAAAGGCCTGCAGGAGATCCCTAAGGACATCCCAGTGGACACGGTGCTTCTGAAGCTAGATGCCAACAGAATCTCCCGAGTCCCCAATGGAGCCTTCCAGAACCTGCCACAGCTGAGGGAGCTGGACCTGTCCCATAATGCCATCGAGGCCATTGGGCCTGCAGCCTTCTCAGGTCTAGCTGGGGGCCTGCGGCTTCTGGATTTATCTCACAATCGCATCCGAAGAATTCCCAAGGACGCACTGGGCAAGTTGAGTGCCAAGATTCGCCTGTCCCACAATCCACTGCACTGTGAGTGTGCCCTACAGGAGGCCCTGTGGGAGCTGAAACTGGACCCTGACTCTGTGGATGAAATTGCCTGCCACACCTCAGCACAGGAGCAGTTTGTGGGGAAGCCGCTGATCCAGGTCTTGGACTCGGGCGCCAGCTTTTGCAGTACCCACCGGAAGACCACCGATGTGGCCATGCTGGTCACCATGTTCTGTTGGTTCACTATGGTGATTGCCTATGTCGTGTACTACGTGCGCCACAACCAGGAGGATGCCAGGCGACACCTGGAGTACCTGAAGTCCCTGCCTAGTGCGCCAGTCTCCAAGGAACCTCTTAGCCCTGTGCCCTAGAGCCTGCCTCCGGTGGGCCCCTGAGCCTGGCTGCCCTGGTTTCTGTAGCAGGTGGAGGTGATGGTGCTCTTGTGTTCCCAGGGAGGCGCACTATAGCTGCTTCTGCAGTCCCCAAAGCACCTTCATTGGCATTTGGTCCCTGCAGCTTCTGCCTACACAGTAGACTTGCCCATCTTAATGGGTAGGTAAACTGAGGTTTAGAGAAATGGAATACCTTGCCCGGGCTGGATTCAGCTGTCACTTAAACCCAGGCTGTTTGTAGTGTAGGTCTGTGACTCCTCTGATCTATCTGCCAACGTTTTCCCGAGGTGCTGTGGGAAGTGAATATTTGTACACGAAAGGACGGGGCCCTGGTGGGGAGATGGCTGCGGCATTGTCAATCAGAGGCACCAGCAGCTTTGCCACTGGGGAATGGCACACTCTGTTTACCCTTGCCCTCCCAGGACAACTGAACACAGAGATGCTGCCCTTTCCCAGACCAAAGCACTGGCAATCTAGGCCTTTCCAGAGAGGTCAGTGAAAAGTACAGCCTGCACTGACCTTTGTCCTGAGAGCGCTTGAGTTGCCCTTGTGCCAAAAGAGGAACATGAGAAAGGTCCAGCATGGGTTCACCGTGGCGGTGTTGGCTGCCAGACAACCTCTCCTGCTTCTGCCACTCCCATCTGTGCCTGGCCAGTGGAGGCCTGTCAATCACAGCGGCTCCTGTGCCTTGCTTTTCTACTGCCGAGATCTAAAGCAGCTTTTTCAAAGGAGGAGGGACTGGTATTGGAGGTTTCCATGCCAATCGACAGGACACTGCTTTTCTCTGGCAACAAGAACTCTTCACCTCGCTGAAATCCCAGAGTTACTTCATTGATCAGTTTTCTTATCTATCATTACTTCACGTTTCAGGGGTAGATGTTACAGCCACCTACTTGACAAACTTCCAGTTTTATTATTTATTGTCTTTTTGTACAAGTGTTTTTATCTTAAGCTATGTTGAGTACATGGGAGAAGCAAATGAGTATAGATCGTGTGGATGTTGAGTGTTGAGTCTAGATGCCTCTTCAAGCACAAATTGACTGTGGCTTCTGTTTCTGTTGGAAATTTTCTTGTGATCTGCAGGGACAAGGTGAGACTGTGTCTGGACCCTGGTCTGGCTTGGTTTTTAGCCTCACTGTAGCCCCCAGTTCTGTCACCACTAGACATGAGGCCACATGATTGTCAGCTGCAGAAGTATGTGAAAAAGAAACACTCATGAATTCCAGAATGGCCCCACTGCGGAGTGCTCCCATGGTGGTCTTGGGGCCACCCTGCCCAGTATGCGCAGCATGAGTGGAGTGCTAATCTGGAGCCTTGGATGAGCTCAGCCTGCCCACCACTGGGTCAAGATTCCTGCACTGCACTGGGCCAAGCTACACGGTCTGCAGGGCTGCAGGGGTCGGGCCTTGGCAGAGGCTAGTAACACGATTCCCATTCCATTGAGAATTGGAACTGTGAGGCAATCTCCTCAGGGACACCAGGCACGACTGTGACTGCTGACTGGCCCACATGGCATGGGCATGGCCAACACCATGGTGTCCAGTTAAGTGTTCAGTGGAGGCAGGTGCTGAAGGCAGAGCGGTCTGGACCTGGAGGGTTCTGTCTCAAGGTAAACCAGAGCTGAGGGCTTGGATTAAAGACGGGGTGCTATCCTGATGCTGTGGCAGAGTCTGCTCCATGAACAGGGACACTTCTAGCCTGGCACCTGCTCTGGGAGGGACTGCTGCAGAGGATATGGCTTATTGTGTGTTGTGATGTAGCTTCTTCCAGGCCGGTGTCACAACAAAGGTGGGAGCTAGGCCCCTGCAGCCCTTCTGTCACCCTGTGTAGTAGGAAGGCCCTGTGTCAGAAGCCTAGGGCTGTCCCCCAGGTCTGTCCCACTGACATGACCAGGTCAGGAAAGAGCTGTTGCTCTTGTCCCAGAATCACCCGGTGGGCCCTTTAGATACACAGGGGTAGGATTCCTTCCCAGGCTGCTCAACTCACTGCCAGGCTTGCTGCCCTTAGCCTAGGGCTTGTGCATTGACAGGGCTCTTGCACAGTCACTGCTGGGAAGAGAAGGCAGGGGACAGTCTTCTTGTGAGGATCCTGGAGAGAGCATGTCCTCTCCTTCCATGAGGAGACCCCCACCCTCTCCTGCTCATCCAGGCTTCCAATCCTGCTTCTCTGGAGTTTCATCTCTCTGCTGTGTCATTCCCTGTCCTTACTCTTCCTTTCCACAACCAGCTCACAGGATAAGTTTGAGGCTGGACTCCCTGATGGAGACTTGCAGGAGGAGGGGTGCATTGAGATGCTTTTTCTCTCTGGATCCCTCCTGCTTCTACCAGCTTTACCATCCTTCTGTCCTTGAATGAGGACAGACCCTCTAGATCCCAGAACCCCCTTTTGGTACCCCTCCCCAGACTCTGGAAAGCAGGTGGGACCTTGCCACACAAACGGAGGTGCCCAAATACTCCTTAGGCACAGTGGGTAGTTTATGCCACAGGGATCAGTGTCATGCCCCCACTCCCCATCAGTATAAACTCACTATTCTAGGTCCCAGCCACTGGCTCCTCTGGGCATTTTCTCTCCCACTAGTCATATGTGGTTTTCTAAGACAGGGTTCCAAGCTGAGTTCCCTGGGTGGGGTCAGATGGTAAGTCATAGACTGAGGTGGAATGTTCTGGACCTGTGGCAGCTTTGAGCCATGCAGAAACCTAGGGTGGCTGGCTGCTGAGTTGCCTTTCCTGGAAGCTCAGTCCTGAACCTGATCTGTTCCCTTCTCAGTCTTTTTTTCTGTGAACCCCCAATAAAGCTCTCTGTGCCAAAAGCCACTGATGGGGATAGTGTCTTCAGCTCCAGCTGACCCCTGTCTCTCACAGCCCTGTCAGCCTCTGCAGGTCCTCACAGCGGGGAGGATACCTCCAACTGATTGTTACAGCTGCAGCATGGTGATCATTGCTTTCGGGAATCCTGGGAGCCAGCTGCACCATGTGTGGCTCCTTCGGTCTGACCATGTTGAGGCGCCACACCAAGGGACTTGGTAAACACTACCTGTCAGAATCCCACCCTGACATCCTAGGAAATGGTCATCACTTGGCAGCATACTTCCAGAGAAGTGTTCAGTGTGGCCTCCACACTGGGCCAGCAGCACGTGGACCATCACAGTGCAGGTGCTCCCACGCAGTGATGCGCACAGGCTTACAAGCCACACTAGGGCCTTGTCGGCGATAAACTCTCCCGAATCTGGGGAATCCCAGGTTCAGGACTTGATGTCTCCAGAGCCACGATGTATGGGCTTCACCTTCTACTGACGCTTGTCTCCTGGCCACTTCCTACCCCTGCTCTGGGGTCACGGGTGCCTGCCGGCCTCACCAACCTTCTCCCACTGCTGTTCCCAGCTGCGCTACCTGGAGACTCGTGCCCGGGGATAGCCCGGTACCTCTCCACTGGCCTGGGCTAGGCCTGCCTCCTTCCTAAGCTGCCTTGTTCTTCAGGTTCTGGGGTGGACAATGGATAACACTCCCTTCTCTCTGCAGTGTGCTTTCCTGTCATGGAAAACTTCCCACACCAAGTCTCCACTCTCCAGGTCAATTCCCAGTTAATGTGGCTGAAAGACCCTAGAGTGTTCACATTACCTGTCAGCTTGTCTCCTTTCCCTGCTGACTGGCTTGTCCCTCCTAAGGAACCCTCAGTGTAGGCAGAGCAGGGCCCACCAGCTTCCGAAGTCTGCACATACGCACACATGCATGTGCACACACACATAATATGCACACATGCACACACATTTTCAGCCAAACACTGACATGATGTCACATTCATGTTCATGCACACGTGTTTACATGCACACACTTAAGGACATGCACTACTCACTGGTACTACCCCCTTTCAGGACACATGCATCTCTCTTGGGATCCCTCCCTCATTCCTGGTACAGTGTGTCTGTGGTCCTTGGAGGGAGTTTTGCCTCCCCCCACCAGCCTCTAGAGACCATTGTCTCCTCAGCAGTTTCTGTATTAGCATCCATTCCCCGACTCTAATACTCAGAGGCAGCTGGGATTCTGAGGACAGCCTTTTGTACAGCTCTCTGAACCTGCAGTGGACCCCTCTGCCTTGTACCCCACAGGCTGAGGATACCCTGACTTGAGTCCCTGAGTGCTGGGCTCAGGGGGAAAGCCCCTACTTTCGAAAGGGCCTCTGAGTGGTGCCAAGGACAAAGCCACAGGATGGGTGGGTGTCTAGGCCCTGCCAAAGCAAAATCCCATGACTCTATGTGAGCTTGGCATTGGAATAACAACAGCTCTCAGCCACCCTCTTTACTTAGAACATAGGCCACTGGGAGGGGACCACAGCCTCTACATGGGGACAGCTTCCGAAGGCATTTTAGCTGGTCCTCACAGTGGCTAGCATGGTGGGTCCTGCTCTGCTTCAGATGAAAAGCTGAGGTCCAGGAGGAGTGGAGTGCTTGCTTAGTGGTGGCTGGCTCCTGGCAGCCTGGCCTGGACACCGTCACTTGGGAACTGGAACTTGGGGTGTTGTCAAAACAAAAGGCCAGAGCTTGGTTGACTACAGATGGAAGAAAGGCTAGCAGCTAGCGTATGAGGCAAAGCAGACCTGTTCACCCAGCCTGTCTGCACCACCACCATAGCCAGGGGCAGGATGCGTCAAGCTTGGAGCTGAGAATTGGCTCTGCATTTGTAGCCATGGCAACAACAGTGCCCAGAAAGGGGGTGGACACCCAGGCATTAGCCATCAGAAGTGGCCATGTGTTGCTGTTGGGACCAGTGGAGGCCAACCATCTTGCCTCTTCCCTCATAGTCTGTGCAGACTGTCCCGGGCCTTTGTTTGTTCTGTCGCTTTTTTGAGATGCTTTTGTGCCATTTTAGGAAGGGTGGTTTTGTGCCTAATAATCTTGGGCCACATTGGCCGGGTTAGGACTGGGATTGGGAACATTTGTTTGTATATTTTGTATCCTGTAGTCTGATTTTGTGGCTTCCTTAGTTTACAACTGGGGAATGTGGGCAACTGTAACTAGGTACTTCCAGATCCTGGTCCTGGAGGGGTGGGGGACAGGCCAGTTTTGCACACAGTCCCTTCTAGCAGGAGAATAGCTGGATGAAATAAAGACGTAGCCTACCCTGCCCTTCTGTCCTCCGTTAGGCTCCTGGGTGTGGCAAGTCTGAGGACAGGTGCTAAGTTGTGGGGTAGGGCTTTTTTGGACTTCTCTCCATGGCCACCTTCTCATTGTGTCTCAATGCTGGCCCCTCTGGGTGGGGAAAAGAAGGGATCTGGAGAGGTAGAGGAGAGGGAAGGGAAGAAGGAGAGAGGAAAGGCAGGGGGAGAGGAAGGAAAGACGAGAATGGGAGGAAGGAGAGAAAAGGAGAAGAGAGAAATGAGAAAAGAGAGGGAAGAGGAGAGGGAGGAGAACCCAGGGAATAGTCAGCAGAGCCGGCTCTTGTGGGTATCCCACTCCAGTCCCAGAACCCAGGCTTGTTTCCTTACACAGCAGGAAAGGACTTGAGATTGCTGTTGCTGACGGCTGCACCACTGTTCCATGTGGAGCAGGTTGGGAAGAGGGACTCAGCTGGTCTTTGGAGGAAAAAAGATACAGTAACAGCAACTGGGCTGGGAATGGGGAGGGAGGCTGCCCGTGAGTCCAGGAGCTGGAAAGACGTGGACACAGTTTCCTTTAGGAAGTAGCCAGCTTTGCCACCACTTTAATCAGGAGCTTGTGTGGGCCTTATGCCCTTCAGGACACTGAGTTGGGGAAGCTTTGCTGGTTTTGGCCACTGACTTTGTAACAACAGAGTGTTCTATATAATCCTGCCTCTCCCGCCTGTCTGTCCTTCTTGGACATGAGGCAGAAGAAACTAGCTAGGTCTCCCTAGCCACTGTTAGCCAAGGGACCCATGCTTCCCCAGCTTTTTGTCCACCCTCTCG